ACTTCGACTCCAAGCGCCCCTTCCCGGCGCCTTGGGGACCCTGGGGTAACGGACTTGGCTGCTAAGGGCGATGGTGCCGCCTACTGGCGGCTGGAGGGCTCCGCTCCGGACTCTCGGATTCCCATGCTCAGGAAGAGGGAAGCCGAGCGAGAGAGGTTTGGGGCCTTAATGTGCCCCCCAAAGGGACTGTTCTCGATGTAAAGAACTCCAGGACGCAAGATCCTAACCACAGCAACTCTCCTCCGCCTCATGGAACTCATGAAGTGAAAATCACTATCATTGCAGATAGGTTAAACCTCCTAATCTAAATGCAGTCTTCCTGGGTTAGAATCTGGCTTTTAGTTCTCTCCTGGCTATTCCTTTCGACAAATAACTTGACTTCATTTGTAACAGCGGGGTTCATAGGCGTCCGTTCCTCATAGGGCTGCTGTGAAAATTATGAAATAAATAGAAAATGCTAAACACAAAACCTTGTATATGATTAACTCAAATGATAGTCTTAGTTAATAAATACACAGGTACTGTCTTTTAAGACTCAGACTGGGGTTCATAACCAGCTGTGGGATCTCAGGCCCGCCAGCCTTTCTGGGGCTTACTTTCCTTTCCATAAAAACAATCATCTCAAGAGTCCCTTCTGACTTACTTCACTTAGCATAATGCCCTCCAAGTCCATCCATGCTGTATTATGCTAAGTGAAATAAGTCAGACAGAGAAAGACAAATACTGTAAGATATCACTTACATGTGGAATCTAAAAAAATACAATGAACTAGTGAATATAACAGAAAAGAAACAGACTCACAAATGTAGACAAGGAACTAGTGGTTACCAGTGGGGAGAGGGAAGTGGGGGAAGGGGCAAGATGGAAGTGGAGGATTAAGAGGTAAAAACTATCAGTTATAAAATAAGCTACAAAGAAGTATTGTATAACATGGGGAATATAGCCAATATTTTATAACTATAAATGGAGTATAGCTTTTAAAAATTGTGAATCACTATACTGTATACCTGTAACATATAATGTTGAACATCAACTATACTTTTATTTAAAAAATATGATATTGTAAAATAAATACATAAGTTAAAAAATAGTTAAGATTAAATAAAAAGAGTCCTTTCTGGTTACAACCTTCTCTGATTTTAGATCAGCCTCTGAGAATCTTCTGGAATCTGACCAATTCTGGGCTGGACTGAGATGCCTTTAAAAGGCATGCCAAGAGGGCTACAGAAACCTAGGAGAGCCTCTAGCTACTGCTGGATGAAAACCAAAGTGGACAAAATCTCTGGGAACTGGCCTCTGCCAATTCTCCCCTTGGGCTACATTTTAAAATGCCTTCTAAGTCTCAGGGCTCCCCTTCCTCATCTTTAACACAGAAGGCCCTTTAAGTAAATTTCTGTGTTTAAGTGTGGGAATAATAATGAAAAAGAAAACACACTTGGCAACCCCTCCTCCTCCAAAGCCCTAAGAGCAAAGCTCCTTTGCTTTTCTGACTCATTTGCTTTGGACTTTCTCACAGCCTCTGCTGAAACATTCACAAACCCCAGCACCGACCCTCACGTCCTGTAGGTGGAGCCTCTTGCTTTGTTTCCACACAGTTCATCTAGTCAGCAAGGAGGTCACAACTCCTTCCCGAGGAGTATAGACTGTGGACCTAACTTTGAGAGTGGGAGAAGGGGGCATCTGGGAGCCTCCAGGAGGAGCCCCAGAAACTGCTGGACACGTGCAAATGCTCTAAGCGGCCAACTAGTGATGTAATGTCCTGCTTTTCAAACACCTGGGAAAGTCAGTTTCAGGTGAGTTCATTTTCATGCTGATGTCATTATACAAGAGTTTAGGACAGTTGTTCTCAGCCTTAGCTGCACATTGGAATCACCTGGGTATTTTAAAAATACTAACACCTGGGTTCCACTCCCAGAGATTCTAATTGTCCTCAGGTGCTGCCTGGATTTTAAGTTTTCAAACCATCGTAGGTGGTTGTTTAGCTAAGGTTGAGAAGCACTGATTTAGGAAGCAAAGACCTGCAGGGACTAAAGACTCACATACTGCAGATGTCAGATACATCATAGTTATTGGGGAAGGGGTTGGGGCCAGAGAGAAAAATGGAGCCCTTGATCCCAAAAAGCCTCACTTAGGTGGGGTGAGAACAAAAAATTCAAAACAAAACCGTCAGAGATCTGACCTTGGGAATTATATGTTTTTAAGCTAGGAAGAGCCCATTTCTGGAATAGGATTTGTAAAGTATGTTGGTAAATTAGTAGAAAAATGTGAAAATGTTTTACACTGGTGAGTAATGACAGTGCAGTGTCCTAATCCCAAATGTAATATGATTCTGCCTCAGGAAGCTGACCTCGCTCCTACCTCCTTTCTCTAATGACATCTGTCTCTTCCTCCTTAAGTCTTGACTATTTTTACTAGTTAGGAATCACTCTAAATATAGCATTTCTTCATAAACTCCTTCCACATTCCTACAGGTTCCAAACAACTTAAGATGTCTTAAAGGGGAAGATGATCAATATACTTACTACGCCCCCCCCAACCCCGCCAAAAAAAAAATGTATACTATATTAGGGACAGTTTTCCAGTGAGGGGGAAAAAAACAAAACGTAGTTTCAAAACCTCCCTCTACTCCTGGCTCCGCCCCCCAAGGTGACTTTAAATATCCTCTTTTCCACTTCTGCCCTGCCTCATTAGAATGCTCCCTTAAACAAGAGTTTTCAATAAAGACACGATAGCACCACGTAGTTATAATAATCATGATTTTTTTTTCTGTTAAGAATTGTAGTAGCTTTTTTTCTCCTTCTCTTGCTTTTGGTCTTACTGGGCTATTTTCAAATTCTCTGCATTCTTTTCCTTATAAGGAATATCTCTCCTTGATCTATCAGCGGCTCTTTTGAAAAAGCTAAATAAACGTCCGGCTAGAGAATTTGGGGGAGACAGACATCCTCCATTTAACCATATACAGAGCAGGTATCTGATCTACATTATAGAAAGCAGGCGCAGAGTTATATGTGTTCTTTGGCTTTTTTTTCTAAAGCCAAGTAGTTTGTAACTTAAATGTTTTAGCTAAATCAGTGCTTCCCCAAACCCCCTTTCCAGGAACCTTGCTTTTCACTGAAACTTGCTTTTTGTCAGATTCTAAATGTCCTTTGTCTGGATCTCTCATTTACAAAGCACACTTGAAGATTACATTTCAAGCCTTTCATGTCACAGAAAACTTTTACTGATCTCAAGACCCAGACACTCCTGCAGCCTGCACTTTACTCTCAGAAAATTCTGCTGTTGGACTTGGTAGTTCAATTTCTGGGCATAGCTTTCCCCAGTGCTCATACATTCTTGGAATTGTTACTAACTTCCCAAAGAATTCTTTCCTAATTGGGCATCTAGGCTTAATTAGCTTCTAGAATGGAATCCAACGGTGTGAAAAGAAGCCAGGCCTTTGGAAATCTAATGCTTGTCTTGACTTAGCAGAAGAGGCAAGCTCTTCAGTTAAAAAGATTCCAGAGGGCCGCGGACAAAATGCTGGTAGAGCTTTTGCGGTGCGTGCATCACCCCTGAAACTATGTGGTGGTTGTCAGAGGCTGACAGGTGGGGGTGGGGCGAGCAGGAGAGTCGGGGGCAGCTAGCTCACTATGCCATATAAAGCACTGAGCTATATATAACTCCCAGCTTACTTTTTGGATCTAGTGCCCTCAGACTGCAGACTCAAGCAAGTATCATCTTCCCAGGCAGATCTTAAGGACTGGATTAAGGCTTCCCTATTGAGAAGGGAGGCCTCAAGGATCTCTGTGGTTCACTACCAAGCTCAGCCTTCTAAGTAGCACCATGCCATCTTTTCAGTTTAGAGGTCCTCTGTACTCTGACTGGACCCACCACCGAAAACCAGGCCTTCCCACCCACCAGAAATGGCAAATGGAAAGTGAAGAAAACTAGGTACTCTGTTTGGACCAACCTTGGTGATGACACCTTAGAGGTTTTCTGCCACCAGGGAGGCAAGGTTCACCTCCAGAGTCCCAACTTCAGTTGCTCTATTCTCCCAGCTTCTCACCCACCCCCTCTCCACCCCCAAGGGTGGGGGAAAGAAGGAGGAAAACAAAGAGAAGAATGGATGAAATAAAAATGAATGTGTGCAGTAGCAGTTGGAGGCAGCATCCAGTGCGCTGGGCCATGGCAGGCTGTGTGCAGGTGTCCAGCAGGAGGAGATGACCCTCCTCCAATGCTCTCTGGCCCCTGTGGTGACCCCAGAGCAGCCTCAAGGTCAAAAGGTGAGGGAGGCAGTGTGTGGGGGCACTTACGTCGGTGGCCTTTTTCTCTGCCAGCTCCAGCTTCTCCTGGGCATCTTTAAGAGCCTCGGAGTATTTGTCCAGTTCGTCTTCGGTGGCCTTGAGTTTCTTTTGCAGCGACACCAGCTCGTCTTCCAGCTGGGAGTTGGCCGTGGTGGGGGGAAGGGGACGGGGACGGGGATGGGAGGGTGGGGGTGCAGCAGGCAGCGTGATCCCGCAGGAGAGGGGTGTGGGTGCACAGAACCAGAAGGACAGGGACAGCGGGAAAGAGAAAGGGAAAGACAGGGAGGGAGAGAGAGAGAGAGAGAGAGAGACAGAGTTAGCTATTCGTGTGTCGCGCCGCGCGCCCTGGGTACCTTGGCGGCGGTCTCATCGGCGGCCAGGAGGCTGTCCTCGGCCTTGTGCAGCTCCTCCAGCACCCGGTCCCGCTCGTCCTCCGACGCCCGCAGCAGCTTCTCATTCGCCGCTATGTCCTCCTCCAGCTGGGGGCAGCGGCGAGCGGGCGCGGGCGGCCGGCACGGCCGGTGTTAGACAC